TTACAGAATAATAGTATGTTCTTCCCTAGGGCCTATTACCTAACCAGCCATGGGTTTGGGGCCCAGTTAATGGTACGAGGCATGAGTTCCCTCTTGTGGAACAGCCTTTAAATCCAATCCAAAAGTCGTGATTACTCCATATGCCATTACTGAATCAGTGGGCATATCTTGCCAGGCCAGTCCTTATTGTAGCCCACAGGTTAAGATTGATGACTGCTTTTTAATTCTGGTAGCATGCATAGCACCTTCCAGCATTATGAAAGCTAGCCATTAGGGATGAAACTTCAAGGTCAGCACAAGTTTTATTTCTCCATGGTCTATGACTCAAGTATGTCATGTCTTCAGCAATAGGGTCTTACCATCAAGCTCTGGAGGGTAATCAAAAGCAATGGCAATACCCAGTAATATTTGCAGGATCTATGTGAACCCACTGGCCAACAGCTCCAAAAGAAGCAACCCATTCCTGGCACCGAGCTTTTTATTTGCTATCCTGGTGTATCTAATAATGGATTGTTCCACCATTGTACGTTGCCTCCATTTAGACTCTTTTTAAATAGAGCTGTTGGCAATTAATAGCTGCTGGGAGAGGGAGAGTTGGTTTTCTTCAGAGGTATGGTCTCTGACAGGCTTCCCATGTACATACAGGCAGCACTAAGTGGACTCAGTGAGTTTGAAAACATAGAGCTGTGAAGGAAAACTGGTGGAGGAGATAGAAAAGGAATTAGAGGGGAGGGAAAGGGGGGGTAGATTTGATCAAAACACATTATAGGCATACATGAGATTCACAGACAAAAAAAGCTAAAATTATTTTAAAATTAAATTTTAAAATACAAGTACAGAGGCTGGAGAAATGGCTCAGTGGTTAAGAGTAGTATTGTTCTTGCAGAGGACTGAAATTTGGTTCCTAGCACACAAGTCAGGAAACGCATTATTGCCTTCCAACTCCAGGGGATCTGATGCCTCTGGCCTCCATGGACACCTGCACTCATGTACACATGCCCTCACACAGCCATACACAAGTATACATAATTAAAATTAATAAAAATAAATCTTTCAAAAAATACAAGAATATTTTTTATCAGCTTCATTGAGATATAATTCACACATTATGTAATTCAAGCATATATAGCTCTGTGGTTTTCAATATATTCACAGAACTATGCAACCATCACAAAAATCCATTTTAGAACATTTCATTACCCCTAAAAGAAACCCCATACACATAAGCAATCACTCACCATTCTTCCTCCTCTGCCTTTGTGCACTGACTATTCTTGCAGATGACCTGGGTTCAATTCCCAGCACCCACTTGGTGGCTAACATACATCTGTAACTCCAGTTCCATGGGATCCAACGCCCTCTTCTGACCTCCACAGGAATTGCATGACACAAGTGCACTTACACACATGCAGGCAATACTCTCATACACAGAAAATAAAAATAATAAAAAGAAAATTTTAAACCGTAAGGGGAATTCATAACAGCCGTACTAGGATAGGTAAAAGGTTTTTTTTTTTTCTTTCGATGTGATATAAACTGAGTCTGGCACATGCCTGTAATCACAACACTTGGAAGACGGAAGCAGAAGAATCAGGAGTTCAAGGTTATCCCAGCTACATTGTGAGCATGAGTTACATCAGACCATCTCAAAAATAAAATAGCAATAAAACCAAGCGCTAATGAGGATGCAGAACAATATATATTTCTTTGGGACATGCAAAATCGTAAATCTACTCTGAAAATCAATCTTTCAGTTTCTTATAAAGGTAGACACCTACTATATGACTCAGCAAACTATTACTGAATACTTATGAAAAGCTGTACTCACACAAATATTTGCATGTGAATGTTTATAGCAGCTCTATTTAAAATAGCCTAAACTGGAAAACAAAGCAAATGTCTTTCAATTGAATGAATGGGTAAAAACGGAAAGCTATATTGGTCAAAAATAGGAAAGAATGAACCATTGATAATTGCACCAATATAGATGAATCTCAAATGTATTGCGCTAAGTGGGAAAAAAATCTCAAAAGGCTACATTCTACGTGATTCCATTTTATGACATTTTGGAGAAGATAAAATTATAAGGAAAGAAAATATATCTTTGGGTTCCAGGGTTAGGATGGAAGGAAACTCTGCAGTATATCTATGGTGACAGTTACAGCACTCTATGCATCTGTAAAAGCTCACAGAACTGTGTGCTAAGCAAAAGCTAATTTTAGTATATTTACATTTTTTATTAGAAATCTAAGTAAAAACAAAAACTGCTTTTCTCAAATTTCTTATTTCCACCTTCCTCCTCTCTAGCACTACAAGTTCTCTTAAACTCATCTCCCAAAACTTTGCTAGGTTTTCCTCTCACCATCACAGCACATCAGGGAATCGATCTGTGCTTTGGCTAAACACCACTGATTATGCCTCTCCAGCTCAGAAGTCTCATCCAGCTCTATCTAGATCTGAATAACCAACCAAGTGCCATTCACCTTTAATCTCTCAAAAATAAAAACCCATTTCTTATTTTGCTTTCTCATTCAGATCCTGTTCTCATCAAATTACTCACCAATGTGGAGATTATAATTCTGAATACCTCTGCAAGCCATGACTTCTCTGCCTTAATTATCATGACCTCTAGGCCATGTGTCACCTGTATTACTTTAATAGCCTCTTAACTGATCTTCCTGTTTCCAGTCTTGTCCATATTGCAACTAAAATGAACAGAGTTCCATTGTTTTCGGCATGGTCTGAACTCTCTAATGTGGTTTACAAGTTATTTCATGATTGAGCCCCTATCATGTCTCCAGGCTCATGTCTCATTATTCCCAACTGGGAAGTTTCCTCTTTACCAGTCCTATCCCTACACTGTGCCTGAACCATACTCTCCTCTTAGCCTCTCAAACATTGACCCTGGATTTCCCATGACTGAGATGCTTCTTCAGGAACCTCCTACCCTCTCCACCTTAACCCCTTCAGCTGACTGGATAGTGTTTATTCTCCAAGTTTCATATTCCATCACGTTTATTCAGGATATCACTGAACAACCCTCACAGCTGAGTTATATGTCTTTTTTGGGTGCCACCATAATATTTTTTTTCATGTGTTTAGTCTGTGTTTTATTTTCTTCTCACCTTTTTCGTTTTTTTTTAATTAGAAGAAGCATTTCGTTACAACAGCATTAACCTATTCAATAACATTTTTCTGAGCTAGAGTACATCTTTTAAAATTGGCTGTACATTTTTAGGTTTACAGATGAATTATTACACTTGTACAATCTTTTACTCATTATAAACTCTATAAGACATAAAATTAAATGAGGTTTTAACATTTAAAAAAGATCTCCACTTCATGGTTAAAATACACAGTTTCATACAGAAAAATTCATTTTAAGGCAATTGAC